GTAGTCGAAGTCGAAGAAGGTAGCATGAAGTTGCAACCCAACAGCGTTCTCCCCATTGCCCATGCCGTGCAAGGTAGCACGAAGTTGCGATCCAACAGTGTTCTCCCCGTTGCCGCAGCCGTAGTCGTCGAAGGTAGGATGATCGTAGCCGTAGTCGTCGAAGGTAGGATAAAGTTGCAACCACACCGAGTTCTGCGGATTGCTGAAGCCGTCGATGGTACCCCGCAATTCCAAGCAAACCTGGTCCTGTTACTCATCAGAATTCTACTCATTTAGGGGGGAGGGGGGGGGGGTCCAGGTTGATTTCTTGAATGGAACTATCTGCCCATAGGCTTACACGTGGTCAGAAGGGAACGACAAATGGATCCCCATACTAGCCCCGAGATAATCCCACAAGTATTTTAGCTTCCAGTTTGGTCCATTCCTAAAACCTCCAAACCCTAAATTCAGTGATACACTAGTATCCGTTTTCTTTTCCAATTCTTAATGGCTTCCCGCTTGGAACTGTGCTGCCCACTGCAAGCGGCCATACCTGCACCCCAGGTTCTCTTACAGAGTACTTGGAGGTTCATCGTACTACTGCAGGGTTGCTTGGGGCTTACGCCCGGATTGTAAGCGCTTCTGTGGGTTCTGATAAGCTTGAACCTCCGAGTATGGGGTATCACCGCCCCCTAAACAAGGACACCATGACTAACATATGACCGCTACAGCGACTTTGCTTAACACTGTATCTGCGCACTGTTCTCATAAATTTTGTCGAGGGTGCTACCCTTGAGAAGTTAGGCTTTCTTGATCTGAACCTTAAAGCCCAGCCCCGAAACCCCAAACCCTACCATGGCAGTATTTCGTGAATTTGCTCCTCCGGGCAGGAAGGCCTTGCCGCCATGAAGCAATGATTCGATGATTCCTGAAGTCAGGAGGTAAAAGAATCCTGGGGACCTTCGAAACTCTCGGGCCTAGGGTTTAGGATTGAAGATCTAGAGGATCCAGGGCTTATTCTTTAGGGGGAGCAGGCCCCTTAGCTCGCTTACTGCTCATGTGCTGAGCCTTGTCGCATGCGCCCAACCCGGCGTGCTGTAAATCTTCGAAATTGACATCTCTGACGACTCCTAGTCTCGGCAACAATAGAGCGGATCTCCTCAAAAAGATCCCGAAGAGGTACGACGGCAAGTCTGCAAAGCACTCTTACAGCAGCCAGCAGCAGCTAGCACGTCTTTGAAGTCGTAGCAGCTCCCTCTCGGGAATCTGCTTTCTATGTTGTCGGTTCCCCAACTGACACCGAAAAATTGGCTGGACTCAGAATTCTCACGAAAAACACATGCATTGCATCTTAAGGCCACATACTAAGCGCAAATGCCCTCCACCCTGACCTCTAGCATCAATCATCCCCAGCCCAACGTCCCAATTGGTCCCCAGCTGAATTATAAAACGCTAGCATAGTAAAAACGCGTGGGTGTCCGCTGCAAACTTGTGAACGGTAGACTCTGCAACCGTAAATTGTCAAACTTCAACTTTAATTCCTGAACGTGAACACTGGGTAAAACTCTTCATACTCTTCACACTGAACCCACTGCTTCCAGTATAGCCCTGTGCACTCACCTCTGAACCCCAAAAACCTCGCCACCTGAACAAATATTGAAGCCTCGACTCTCGACCGTAAATCTCCAACCCTTCCCTGGCCTGTTTTACCTTGTATCCACTCTGCCCAAGCCAAAGCTGCGGCGAGATGAATTCATGAGCAAAGCTGGCAGAGCAAGGTGATGAGGGCCTGCGTAATCATGGCTCCCTGTATGTAAACCAAGTCATGTAGGGATGCATGTGTAGAGAGAGAGAGAGAGAGAGAGAGAAAGAAAGGGCATTTATTTAGAATGATTTTTGGACTCCAAGCCATGCTTGACATTAAGCTCGGGAACTTGTATCCCAGGATTCTTCACAAGGCCTTTAGGCACTTCAGTCCTGAGGTTTAGCGGGATTACCCTATTCGGATAGGATACGCCTTGCCAACAATACCATCTGTCGACTTTCATGCGAATCACTCTGAACAAGGGACCACAGAATCGACACACTAGCGTGACCAAGCTACTTTGCAAAGCTTGGGGCCAGTACCAGTACTGCAGCTTCGTCAGACCGTAAAACCAGGTTTTCTGTGTCAGATTTGAACCCTCGAGGAAACTGAAGCCAGGACGGGCTAACAGGTGAGTGTGCCTGCTACATGGGGGCTTCTACGAACAGGGCGCCCAAAATGTCAACCCCAATATACTCAAACAGGGCCGCTAATTTTCAGGAAAGCCCCATATCACTCCACCAATGGCCAGCCATTGAACCAGCCTTTTGCAGGATCTTCACAACAGCTCCGCCTGAGGCAAAGGAATGCCAGTGAAAGCACCTACATCACTAAAACAACGTTTCGGAGTATGTTCTACTAGAACATCGGGATTTTTGGGGTAGATCGTGCTATAGGAGGAGTACAGGGGATCTCTGATTAAAATCACTCAGGCTTCTACTGTCACTACCGGATAGAAAAGAGGCTCAGAATCTCAACTCTCTCGTGCAGCTTTCGGCTGTTGAGCACTTAGATTCAGGCTGGCAATGGCGCTGGCTCACACCTACTACCCTATCTCGGAGCTTGCTTAAAGCGATTTGGAATGCTGTCCAAGGTCGAGTTGACGCTTCATCCACTTCACGACAGAAGACAAGCATGATCCAACAAAGACATGTCCTTTTTGCAGGCCTTTGAAGCCTGAAGCCTGAACACCGGAAAGTCGCTCTCACTCGGGCTTGAACAAAGGATACTTTCTCTCGCATAGGAATATTGTAGGGGTAGTAGTAATGATGGTGTTAGGAATGATGATGGTAACAGCTACATATCAATTGTAATAATGGCAATCGTACTGCCAACAGACATAGGAAAATACAAGTAGCCCTACCCTAAACGCTGGCCCTAAACCTACAAACAATCCAAGCCAAAAGAACAATAACCAAGCCTTGATTTCCACCTGTAGCACCCAAGTCCACGCAAAAACCTAAAAACTGTTGTTGGTAGCTGGCCCAAGGAAGATACTGGTTTCCTTGAAAACAATCTATGCTCACAACGACATTATTTTACATGGGGAACTAAAGCATGCACATATGAAACACGTCCCAGCTGGGTATTTTCAAATCCTGAAAATACCCTAGATCATCCTCATTAAGGACCGCACAATCCCATGTTTATCCCAAGGGCCCACAACGGTGCCCCTGTTTTGAGAACCCTAATCTCCTAAACCCTCAAAGCCCCACCCCGAACCCCTAAACCCTTAAATGCGGCCCGAAACCCTAATCCCCTAAACCACCAACCCCTAAATAGTCTAAATCTCTGACCCCTAGATCTCTAACCCCCTGACCTCTAAACCCTAAAACGCATCCCTTGGAGGCTTCCGCCAGGTCCCCGGCTCTTGTCGCGGATTTCTTTGATGTTGGCTCCCCGCTTGCCGATGACTCGGGCCGCCGGCACCACGGGCAAGAAAAGGTGGCATGGAACCTGAGAGTGGGATTTAAACGTTCAGGGGATTAGGGTTTGGGGATTAAGTTTTTGGGTTTTCGGTAGGGGATGGTAGGGGCCTAGGTTTAACAATTTGTACTTACAAAAGCATGGGGAATCCGAATGGCTGAAACACAGGAATTTGCCATGTGTGATGCTGCCAAGAGGCCTATATACTTCGAAACAAGCTTAGAGCCACGAAGCCCTTTGCTCCTACCGCCACGCTCACCTCATAGAATCCATCTGTTGCCTAAAGCTGCATCTCTCTTGCATCTCTGAACCTCCAAGACTCCCAAACCCCACCCCGGCAAAGAAACAAAACCCTAATCTCTAAACCCTGAACCCTGAAAACCCTGAAAATCCACCGAAAACATTGAAAACACTGAAAAGCCTGAAAAACACTGAAAACCTTGAAAAGCCTGAAAACCCTGAAAACCCTGCCATAACCAGGCGTTGGACCCTGGGAAGCTCCTCCGGGGTTTGCTCCACCGCCTTTGCGACCTCCTCGTCGCCCTCCTCGATGAGCGGAGAGTTGACGGTTTGAATGAGGCTTAGGTAGGGTACTGCCCCCCCTCAGTAACAGTTGGATAATAATTCTATGGATATATATAGCCCTCATAGGACCCCTAATATCGACTGTTACTGGGTGGGGGCAGTACGCAAGGCTTAGGTGTAGGGTTTAGGGCTTAGGGGTTTAGGGTTTTAGGGCTCCGGGATGGTTTGAGGGATGGGGGCTTTGATTGGAGGTTTCCCAGCATTACGGGTACCTTCTTGCGGGTCATTTTCAGAAGGATGAGACGATGTTGCACTCTATGTTGGGGTCTCTCTCTATGGAAGCTAGCTACCAGATCGACGGATTTGGGTGTTAGGTTTTCTAGAACTCATGGTTGATGTTTCAGGGTTGTAGCATTTGATGTTTCACCTTGCACTTAGGTCACAGGGTTCTGAGGCCTCAAGTCAAGGGAGAACAGCTGTAGGTTGCTTCAGAAAATTCACTGGCTGTAGGAAGTTTAAAGTCGTTCTGGCGTGCAGGCTACTAGAGGCATTACAGGACCCTTCTAGAGTCAACTACTCTTCAGGAGGTTCTCAGCTTAGCCACAACAAAGACCCACGGATCGTAGGGAGACACTTGTCTGAGTATCAGGCGTAAGCTTTGGGTTTCTGGGTTTAGGGTTTGGGTTCCAGTTGAAACATCCTACACACTTCCTACACAACACTCCTAGAATGGGAGGCCAGTCATAGCTGAGCTTCTGGGCCTGTTGACACATGCGACCTATGCAGATACCAAAAGCAGGAGCTGAAGAGGCAGATTTGCCAAATAGAGGGGGGCCCACCCTTTATGAGAAAATTTCTCGGGCTCTGGTATATGTATGCGTCAAAGAATCCAAGCATCCCTAAATCTCAAGCTTATATCCTGCACCTGTAGGCTCTGAACCTGAAATCCTAAATCTCAAACCTTATGCCCTTAAACCCGAAAGCTTACACTCTAGACCTCAAACCATAAACCTTAATCCCTAAACCTTAATCCCGAAAACTTAAACTCCAAACCCAATAAACCCAAAAACCGATAAACCTTAAATCCCAAACCTTAATCCCTAAACCCTGTCGTGTACATCATCTGCTGCCTCGGGCTCAGCCATGACGGAAAAGCGCTACGCAGGCTGAGGCGCTGCTGTAAGTCTAGGTTTAGGGCTTAGGGTTCAGGGTTTAGGGTCTAGGTTTAGGCTTCAAGGTTCAGGGTTTAGGGTTGGCAGCTTAGGGTTTTGGCTTTTAAGGTTAGGAGGCGTTGGGTTTGGGAGGTGGCTTGAGGCATGGGGTTCAGGATTTAGTGGAAAGGTCTCTTGGGGGTAAATGTGAAGTTGCTGGGCTTTAGGGAAGTTCCCTAAACCCTAAACCCTAGGGAAGTTCCGAACCCCTTTGACAAGGACCTCTAAGAAGTGCATGTCGGTCATAGGGTCGGGCATTTTCTCGCTTGAAGAAGCAAAACTCCCATTTCTGCACAAAGCTATGGTTTAGAGGAGCATGTAGGCTATGCTGTGTAGGGTTTGAAGTCTAGGTCTAGGGTCTGGAGTTGGAGGTGATCGCGACTGCTGCAGGGCATGTTTACATACAGCTGGCTCGAGAAAGACTGGGCTCATTCAAAAAAAGCGGGTCGGCGAGGTTCTAGGGCAGGGCGTGCTCGTGCGCAGCCTCGGCCTCAATGTCGGCCTCCAGGGCCTCTATGAGCCCCACTCAGCTTGACATCCCTTCTTCCAAGACCGTCATTCTTGCAAACGTTCTGTCGATTGGTTCTGTTGATTGGCTCACTGAGGACTTCATTGCACCGCGCTTCTCACCACTGCTGAAACTTCTCATTCGGAACGCTTCCTTGGTCCAAGCCACGAAACATATTGGGAGACAGCATGCTTTCTGTACGGGTATGGTTTCAGAGCCCAAGGATTCAATCCATTTCAAGCGATTCCAGGAGGTTGTTGCAGCGTGGGAGCATCACGCAGAAGTCTTGCTGCAGTTCTACCACCACCCACACGGCATGATCGACAGATCGCACGCAGAGCGCGAAAATTAAGTATAAAGTCCTCGTCCTACGTACCTACTGCATATTCTCACATTACGTAACTTCTTTGGGCTATGGTATCAAAATTCCGAAACATATCTATTTCAGTTCAGGATGACTGTAACTTAGTGAGTACCTCTGAAACGCAAGACCCTGTTCTAATCTGACTGGCGCTTAGTCAGGAATTCCCTCTATAACCCATATGTAGTATATTCCCCAACTCCCTACTAATCCCCAGTAAGCAATGCAAATAGCATGCCATTCTTTCAGAATAGCGTGGCCTCGACATTCTGGAAGGGTGGACCCAACGAAAAACAAAAAGAGCAGCTTTTTGGCTGACCAAGCGAAGTCTGATCTCGGTCATAAAGGGTTTGCTTTGCAGCAAAGCAGACAGGGGAGAAGCGGCGCAGGTCTGGGAATTTACTTGAAACCCTAAACCCTAGGTGCTGCTGTTGGGGTCCATGCGCTGGATTGCATATGGACTTTGCTTGCGGGCTGAGGTTGATACAGAATTTCAACCCAGGACAAAACCTCTGAAAGTTGGAGATTCACTGCGGGGTCACTTGCGGATGCGAACCTCACAGGCTCTATACTTAATATAGCCCCAATATATACCCTATTATAATATAGCAGTTTCCATTTTCTTTTCCATTATCCCTATATTACTAGGTTTGACCCTAAACTAAACCCTAAACCCTACTGTGCTTCTGTCCCACTCAGAGGTCCTCCTCATCTGGGTCCTGCACTGATTGCCCTCTTAGCGGTTTTAGCGGGAAAAGGCGAGTTTAGGGAGTTTAGCAGGTGGGGTTTTAGGGGCTTAGCGTTTGGGGCTTCAGATTTTCGTAGCTCAACATGTCTCGTTCCCACTCCACCTTTTGCGTTGCAAGTTCGAAGGTGGTGCATATGAAGCAAGAGTCTCCTTAATGGTGCGCGATGCCACTCTGTAAAAGCCGATGGCCCAATACGAACACATGGCACATGGGGTACGTGTAAACGGTGGCTTCCACTTCACCTCAGCGAATCATATCCGGGCCCTCTGCGTTGCAACAAGACAGAAAATTCGTTCATAGCATCCACAGAGTGAAAAGCAAGCATTTAATCTGAGAGGCTCCCTAATTGGTGGGCATAATAGGTGTTCAAATCCCGCTCCTCAGTTCACAGCTTTACAAGATTCACATGTCACCTTGGGCAATGCCCTTTCGTGACACGCTTCTGCCCAAATTGTTTCACAAGTAAGGTCTAGGCAAAACGTTCACCAGGGAATAAACAGGAAGGAAACGTGGTGAAGCGCATGTTGGCTCCTCGTCGTTCCAGGCAGAAAGTGGCAAGGACTATGCTTGACTGAAGCGCGGAACAAGCGCAAACTACCCCTTCTCAGTCTCAGTCTCAATCCCTCTCGCTCTCTCTCCCTCTCTCTCTCTCTCTCTCTCTCTCTCTCTCCGCTCCCTAAAGGCCGAAAAGCAGGTTGGATAAGTCTTACACCCACAAACCTAGTTAGGAAGGGGAGAAATGGCTGCGGGCAAGGAAGGAGCTTTGAGCTAGTTCGCCTCTTGAAGGCTTGGGAAATCAAGCCTTAGCTACTTGGGCTGCATGCTGTGAGGCCCTGAAGCCTTCTTCAGGACTGTTGGGCCGATGCCTCAAGGCTTTGTGATTTTGGGCTTGCTGTTAGTGGCCCCGGCAACCCTTCAGAAGCTCAACCATGGAACCCAAATGTAGAAGCCGGAATGACTACCCAAATTGTCCCTCATCACCTTTACATACCTACAGAATATTCTACACCCAAAATTCTATTCAAACGATTTCAGAAAGGGCGTGCCCAACAGCAATCTCTTTACCCCCAGATGAAAACCCTAAGCCTGCAACCCTAAGCCCCAAACCCTGGAGCATCAGCCTTAGACACCCCCTGAGCTTAAACCCTACGTCCTGAACACTGAAACCCTCGAGGCGAGATAAAGATTACAAGTACTCAAGGTCCCATGTCTCATTTTCTTGATTTGACACATTGAAAATTTTGACAATTTCAGGCTCAAAAATCCGCCCCCAAACCCTAAGTAATCTTAATAAACCCTGGGCTCTAAGCAAAGGGTCCAGGAGCCCACTTTCCACGGGATCCTCGCCCTCCTGCTCGGAAAAGGTTGCCAAGGGGAGATAGGCCCTAGAGACCCCAACAAATGCATTAGGATTATGAGGGGGTTATGGGATTTAGGCTTTAGGGATAGGAGATAGCCCCTAGACACCCCAAAGGGAGAAAAAGGGGTTATAAGGGGATTAAAGGTTCTATAAGCTCAAAATCTGATCAGGGATTCGGGATTTAGCGTTTGGGCTTCGGGGTCTCTTTTGGGGTTGGGGGGTTGGGTTTGCCGCGTTTGTCCTTTTGCGGTTTAGGGTTGGACTCCATAATATGAGATAGGAGGCCTAGGGGAAGGGCCAAATCTCTTCAATGGGCTGCAGTACTGGATAAGGCCTGAAGCCGAAATTCTAAACCTCAAGACTTAGCATTCAGCGTCAAAAAGCCCGAGACCTGGCAATCCCCAGACTTTCAGTCTGAGGCCATAATCCCCGAACTCCTAAGCCGACGAACCCCGAACCCTAAATCCTAAAGCCACGAAAGCCCTACAGGCCCAAAGGCGAGTCGGAAGCCGAAATCCCAAAGCATGATCAACTTCACCCTAACACCCAGACTCCGGTGCAGTGATTGGGGCTTGGGGTTTAGGGTTTGGGCTTTTAGGTTGAGAGTTTAGGCTTGAGATTTAGGGCTTCTGGTATGGGTTTAGGGTGTAAGGCTTACTCACTCTAGTCCCATGGCGTTTGTTCTAATGTCCAAGCCTGCATTCTCACTACAGTCAACAACCTCTCTACTACGTGGCACTTAGGACCCCTAATACGGGTTAACCCATAGGTATCCAAAATAGAAGTTTAAGGGAATCCCAAAAAGTTAAAGGTCTGAAGTCCAAGCTAAGTTCCAAGGAGTCTAGGCCATTGTAGTTAGAAGTGGGGTTAGGGTTGGACAGCTCTGCTTATGTCCTAACTTGGCACACTGCAAATCACACGTTTACTGGCCATGAGCATTCATCTTATTTGAGTTTAAGGGGAAGTTGGGGGAGTGCAAATAGGGGATGATACCGATTATTATCAAAGTGCACTCACCCACTCCTGCGGGTGCAACGTTATGCCGTGGGAGGTAATTAAGGTAATTAAGATGCCTGAATAGTTACCGATATTTGCCCCACATAATCCACTGATAACTCCATAACACCGTATAGGCCCTACAACCCCTTTAAAAGGGCCCTGTATATCCCTATAAGCCCCTATAAACCCCATCAAAGGGGATCCCCGTAACATCCGAGCACTGAGGCAAAGACCTTGGGTGCGGGCGGTCTGTCATCGAAGCTAATGGCGCACTCCTGGTGCAGCCACCTCAGATCCACAGTTCCATACAAATACATGAGCGTTACCTAGGGGCTATATAGGGCTTTATAGGGATGTTGTAAGGAGAGAACATAGGGATGTACAGGGTTTACGGCGTTCCAGGGCCCAGGATTTAAAGCGTGGGTTTTCAGGATTTAGGAAATCAGGTTCCGGCTGGGCTTGGCGTTGGCATCATAACAGTTTCTGGCTTAGGGTTTTGGGTGTGAGGTTTGGTAGTGGATTCTCGCAGGCTAAGCATGGAAATCATACAGGACAAAACCTGACAACAGGCCTTTGACCCAACCTTGGCCCCTAATCCTTGAGCTGCCTTGCTGGCAGATATCTTACAGGAAAGAGGAATGCTGGAGCTAAGAGCTCTTCTTTAGGGTTTGCGGTTTACGGTTTACCCAACTCCCCGAACTCACCTCAGAGACCCACAAGTCTTAGATGCAGGCCCCCCTTAAGACTTTCCGTCGCGAATGCTATCGTTCTAGAGGGCTGAAGTCTAGGGACGACTTTCCTTCTTCTTGGGCAACAAGGAAGCATCGAAACCCAGGAATCTACATGTTTTGGTAGGGGTTCTTACTGCAAGGAAGTTACATGCCTGTGGTCCTATGAGTAACATCTCGAGGCGAAAACTGAACCTCGCGGCAACTCTCTCGCCGACCCAATAACCGTATGAGTGCTTCTCACAGGTAGGACACCCCCCCTCCCGCAAGAACCAAAATGCAAAGATCATGTTTAAATGGGATCCATTGTGTGCAGAATCCTTCTTGAACAGGACCGATGATGTGCAAAAGCCTGCATATCATAAAGTCAAAGCTCTCTGGACCACGGGACTCTAAACCCTTAACAGTGTGGCTGAGTGCTCTGCCGTATCATGTCATCTGGCTGCCGAGAGCCCTGATACATGACCTGGGGAAAGCGATCTAGGGCCGAGGGCACAGGGCTTCACGGGGCTCATGATTCAAGTGGTTTGAAGGCATGTGGGGTTTTCCATAAACAGGGGGCCTCAATATAGACTCCAGTAAGCTTTCTCTTAGTTATACCCAAAAGGTGGCCCCTAATTTTGGAAAGCCTGCCTCAATCCCAAACCCTGAAACTTAAAACCTAAACCCTGAACCCTTAACCTGAAACCCCTAAAGCCAACCCTAAATCCTAAATCCTAAACCCTGAATCCTAAACCCGAAACCCTGAACCCTTAAGCATGAACCTGAAACCCTAAAGCCCGAACCTTGGAACTAGCAGAGGGTTTTGGTAACCCACGCCTCCAAAATCAAGACTCTATATTCTATATGACTATAACAAGGTCCTAATTCGAGAGTTGAGGTAAAGTGGCCATTATGGAAAATGACTTCCTCTTCTAGACCTGCAGAAAACGAGGACCTTCAGATCAACGCTAAGCCCTAAACCCCTAAATCCTGAACCCCGAAACCTTAACCCCTAAACCCTGAACACCTAACTGGCTGTGCAGAAGTCGCCTAAAACCTCAACCTTCATGATTCAAACCTTCACCGGTCCCTACAATCAATGCAACCCCAATACCTAAACCCAAAAAGGTCAAAGCCCTAAGACACCTTGATATTTTCAAGAAAGGGTTTTTGCTTTTAAAGGAAGAGCCCCGACTAAATTGCAACAAGCACATACGAGATTGCCCTCATGCGCTCCGCAAGGCCCTGTCATATCTGCGTAACGTTGTTTATAACTGCAATATATACCATACTACAATGGCCCAATATCACCATGTTCCCCATATAACCCCAATATATTGGAAACCATGATATCCCCATTGAAAACACTACCCAACTGAGCTCAGCGCATGCCGCTTGGGAGATGCCCCGGCAGGGAAAAGGAGGATGGTCGGGAAGCCCGTGATTTGCAGGGTCTCCACCTGCAAAGTGGGTTTGGGGTTTGTTTGGGGGGCATACCTGCAAGAAGGATTATAGCAAGAAGGATCTGTGAATGCGAAATGGTACATGCGGACTCAGAGCTTGGGGAGAGGTGCGCGGGTAGATCCAGACTAGGGGCACTTTTCACCGACTCCTGATCGGTCATCGGCGATTGGTTTGGGAGGTTTACTTGAGGCGCCTTGGGGACGCAGCGTTTCAGACGGTTAGCTTTACGGTTTCACCCTCAGGTTCCGGGCTGCAAGATCAAGTGTCTTAGCCACCCTTTGTTGGATCTAAGCTATGGATCCCCAGCGAGAACGAAGCTTTGGGGTTTGGGGTTTTGTTTTTTGGCCCCAAGCCCTAAACCCTAAACCCGAGCAAGGGTTGAGAGCTTTGGCATTTGAGGCACCAGCACAAGGTACCCAGGAGACCGTAATCTTCCCTAAGGGTCCAAGGACCCAAATAATGGGGTTTTAGGGCCCAACTACAATAATATAAATGGTTTTGTGTTTAGGATTTCGGGCTTAGGGTGTAGGAACTCGAGGTGTTGGATCTACTTACTAGTGCTAAAGGGGAAGTTGAGGAATCCTTTCCCAATCCCTGAGGGTTTAGGGTTTACAGGGTTTAGGATGTAGGTTTTAGGATTTAGGGTTTAGAGGGTTTAGGGTTCAGGGTACCACCAGCAAGACGAGGAACCTCCCAAAAGGGCACTTTTCGTTTTGCGCTCTGACACCAAGCTTAACTTGGGAAAGTTTTCAAAATAGGGATCTTAAAAGTGAAGGGTTTAGGGTTCAGGGTTTAGGGTTCCCCAGTAACCCCGTAACAACAAGGGTATCCTTTTTCCTGATGTTCAATTTTAAAAGGAGACCCGAAAACAAAAAGTAAAACAGCAACTGCTGGGATACTTAATACTTAGGGTTCTTTAAATTTGGATTTAGCGTTTGGGACATCGGGGGCCTTGGAAAGCACTGCCCTTTTGGCGCAAACATTTCCCGCACACCCTTGTCAATCCAGAAAATTGAGCGCAAAATTTTACAGCGAATCAAACTGCAATGGCAAGAGTTACTCAAAGCACGGCCCTGCCCGACCTAATACTAAACACGGGGCTTATCATTAGGGGGAAGGGGATTGACAGGGACACAGCTGCATCCTGAACGCATTCAGCACGATTTAGCCACATTGCCCCGAAAAAAAGCAGGAAATGAACAGGCAAGATCAAATGGAAGCTGGAGTAATACTGGGAGGCTATAGGTAATGAGGAGATTCGTATCTAGAAGTTCGGCGCAGAGCGTCATCATTACTTAGGTGGTGGCCCTCCGAAGGAACACAGATACTGGATCACGCCTCGTTGCGCGTTGCGTCGATCTTCATGATCTTCAAAGACTTCACATGCCGGAGTTTCCTGCCATCTCGTCCCTCACTGTATGCCCTCACTATGGGAGTTTACGAGCATTGGGCTCTGTTCATACACCCAACTACTACTATATGAGAGTCACCTGCTGCTCTACACCCTAGGCCCGCTCCTCGAGAAATCTATGTCACACTGTTCGGGTTTAGGGCTGAGGGATCCGTCTGTAACAAGCTGCTGCGCAGTGTACTATGGGGTATGGCTTCATTCTGCTTCTTGGTGGGCGTATGTAGGTTGGGGGGGAATATCGGTGAGTGTCTGCGTCCAGTCAGGGAAACCATGACTGAACAACAGTAGGTCATGTAGCTGCGCCTTTGCAAGCTGAAGGGCGATTCGAACCCTAAACCCTCATGACTATGGGGAGATGTTACGCCGAAAGTTGGTCAGCTAGCATCGGAAGTCGAAAGCCCTAATACCTAGAGGTCCATGGTCCTCAGTCCAGCATTGTTAAAGAATAGGTGTACTTCCCCTAATTTCTCTTATAACCCCACTCCAAAACTACCAAGGAACCTTCCAGATTTACTTTCCGAAGTCTAGGGACCTAGGCTCCAGGTGAAGGCATTGAACAGAAGGATTGCTATTGCAGACTACACAGTGATTGCAGTTTAGGGTTTACGGTCTAGGGTTTCGGGTGGTCCACAATCCCGTACTATATCGGCACTCGTGTGTTCATTGCCCAAAGATGAGCAAAAGCTCTGCGGCAATAACTGCTGGGGCCTAGTAGGGAATAAGGGAATATACTATATGGGGCTCTACCCTAAATCGAAAACCCTAAACCCTCACTAAACCCATATATTCCCGTATTCACTACAAACAACCAGTCCGAACAGCAATTATCCAAAGGCCTCATGGCAAGAGACAAATGCTTGATTCATGGGTTTCCTTACTACCCTCTTCTGCACTACCCCTCCTAGTTCTCCCCTTAATTAAGGTTATCTAGGGATAGTCAGGCCTCATGAAGGTTAATTCAAGGGGCCCACGCTTTAGATTAATTAGGATCGACTTACAGTCATTTGATTATTCTAAGGTCTCCAGTACAGGGGTCGGGTATAGGGTTTAGGATGCAATTTTGGGTGTTCAACATCCATGTTGAAGACCCTGAACCCATAACCTTCCCAACCGAAACGCCGTAGGTCCTCCGAATCACTGAACCCTAAAGTTTAGAGTGTAAGCTTTCAGGTTTACGGCTTAGGGGTCCAAGGTGCTTGCTAGACCCTAAATCCTATGGCCTCAAATCCGGCACCGCAACTGCAAGCCCCGAAACTTAAGCCATTCCAAAACAGGAGAATCCCATGCCATGGAAAAGCAAGATAACATGGACACTGGGTTCACATAGAGGTTTGCTTGGAGACTGCGCTCTATTAGGGATACTGAAGTCTAGACCTTGAAGCCCAAAGCTTGATGTTATAGCCTGACATCCCCACCAAAAAGCCCTGAAGCCCGGGTTCCAAGCCATGAACATTCCCAAATCCTGACAGACACTTGACCCAACCATAGCCACGTGGTACATTCCCAATATAGCGCGATCCCAATATAGATCCCAAAGCACGAGGATCCTTTTTATGGGGAGCCCCAAGAAAGGAACCCCTACTTTTGGTATGAACACTTAAGCCCCAGATTATAAAAGGAAGCTTCTCAAAAGAACCCCTACGTACTCCTTAGGGGGGAAGACTTGTCATATCCTCATAATCTCCTGGTCTGAAAGCACGCCGCCAAGTGTGAAAAACCCTCACATAAGCAGCACCCAGCGCATCTGAGTCCCTGGCTTCGCAAGCTCCTTGTACAGAGGCTCAAACTTGCGGCAGTGGCCACACCTAAGGGCTTCCTATTGGTGCGTTTATGGGCTCATGAATCTTAGGATTAGGGGTTGGGGGGGATGTTGTACCTCCCACAGACTAGGACTTGCAAAATTGTCCCCCCTAAATGTGGTTTTCCTTGTTCACACCAATCAAAAACTTGCATATGGCGCAGTATGGGCGTGGATTGCAAGGTCCACACATGGCTGCAGCTAGGAGGAGGGGGATGTACAGACAGACAGAATATGACGGAGAAGGGAAACGGAGGACAGACAGCATGATAACGAGGGCGTCAGGGGTCAGGGGGTTCACCCTACTTGCAGGTCTTGGAAGGAATCCCTGACCGTCGGAATACCTGGCTCACCCCACACCAGGGCACTGTAATTCTTGTATCATTTAGAGGTCTATTTGAAGTCCAAGTGCTTGACTACACCATAACCATACGGGGAATCTAGGACCCTGATATTGGTAATCGTTCCAGCTTCTGGAGGATGGACCTTTTTCCCTTCTGCCTGCAAAACAGCAAGTCCTTGACGCGCCTTCGGCGTAGCTTCAGCTTGCTCTAGCTCGAGTTCCAGCAATCTCCCGAAGACCAGACCCAACAGCACTGCACTAAAACGCTGTTTGCAATGCTGTTGGATCTCCTCCTGGGGATCCAGCACAGTTCGCTGCTACATTGCATCGTAAAACGCTCTGCATAATCCCGAATCAGGAGGAACCCTGCTATAATATATAATCCATGTACCCGTAGGGTCTCTAATGCCTCTTCGAGGCCTGCCTGTAGAGTTCATGTCCTCCAGCGACACCGACGCAAGATGAAATCCAGGTTGGAGTCGTTTTCTCAATCATTTTGCCAGGAGCTATCGGCAGTGCGGCAAAGACAAATGCTTTGTCCAAACAATCCATCCGCATTCCGTGCAAGCGCGGTTGGCCGGCAAGAGCTCCTTTCCTGACTGGACACCCCTACTCTTTTGCCCCAATGCCTCCTCCCAACTCCTCCTCTTCCTCCCAGGTCCCAGGAACATCGTGATGAAGTGCAGGCATATTAGACGAAAATCTGAACGCCAGCTTGCACATCCCGACGGCAGATGGGGCAGGCGCCGTGCATCGCCGTAATGAACGCCGCGCAGTCCATGCAAGCGCAAAGGTGCCCGCAAGGTAGGAAAGCATGGGACTTTCCACGGTCCAAACCTTAGAGGCTCAGGCCGCTGGTCAGTTTAAAAAAAAAAAAAAAAAAA